TCACGTATCACTTCCCTTCTGTGTTAAACTTTGGGTGTTGCTTCCACATGCAACTCTGGATGGAAAACTCAGGGTGTTGTAGTTAGCAGACATACCACAAATGAATGGTTTCAACAAATAGCCATCTATTGGCTCACGATTTGGGAGGTTAGAAGTCCAACTTCCGAGTGTTGGCCGGAAGGAAAAGCTTCCGCTCTCTCGGTGGGCTCTGGATGAGGGGTCAGCAAACTGTGGCTCTTGAGTCACGTTGCAGCTCTTTTGATACAGACATGTCGTGCTGAAGTAAAACTGGAAGTGAAAATAAAACGGTCATAGTTTCGTGTCAAGGGTCTTTATTCAGTTAATGGTGATTTCATTTGTTTGTAGAAATATACTTATGGCACTTGGATGCTTTTCAAATGGTTGTGGAGGACAGGATGGGCTCTTGCATCTCAAATGTTCGCCAAGCCCTGCTCTAGAGGAAAAGCCCCGCCTCCTTTGCTTTTGTTCCTGGGATCCTTGGAGACCTCCGTTCAGCTCAGCATCTCTTAGATCCCATCTCTGCCCTGCTTGCTTGCTGAGTCTCTTCTCTATTGCAGAAGACTGATCAACTCAAGAGGAGCTCCACACGAATCTATCTACATGAATATAACAGAACAACTCATGCCCAAATAGGATTATACTCAAAACACAGGGATCGCTCTTTTTTACCTTAATTTAATCAAAAGTTGGAGGCAAAGCAACAATGAATACAGCCACTAAAAACCATAGAACGATTATTCAGAGCCAGATTAAGGCATGTGAGGGCCCCAAACACTGGGAATCTGTGATGCCCTCGCCTCTGTTTACTAATGCATTGGAAAGGGATATGTGAGCTACGTGTGTACATATATGTATATGTATGTGTGTCTTTAGCTAGCTATGATGCAGCTGGTATTTAAAAAAATAATTTTATTGGGGGCTCATACAACTCGTATCACAATCCATACATACATCAATAGTGTAAAGCACATTTGTACATTCGTTACCCTCATCATTCTCAAAACATTTGCTCTCCACTTAAGCCACCGGCATCAGCTCCTCATTTTGCCCCTCCCTCCCCGCTCTCCCCTCCCTCATGAATCCTTGATAATTTATAAATGATTACTATTTGTCATATCTTACACTGTCTAAAGTCTCCCTTCACCCACTTTTCTGTTGCCCATCCCCCAGGGAGGAGGTCACATATAGATCTTTGTAATCAGTTCCCCCTTTCCACCCCACCCTCCCTCCACCCTCCTGGTATCGCCACTCTCACCACTGGTCCTGAGGGGATCATCTGTCCCGGATTCCCTGTGTTTCCAGTTCCTATCTGCAACTGTTTTTTAAAGGTGACTAACCCAGGTTGTGTAGAGGTTACGTGTTGGTCTGCTAACCACAAAGTCAGCAGTTTGAAAACCACCAGCCTCTCTGCAGGAGAAGGCGAGGCGTTCTAGCCCTGAAAAGAGTCACCGTTTCAGAAACCTACAGGGGCAGTTCTATCCTGTCCTAGAGGCTTGTTATGAGTCAGTATGAACTGGCAGCGAGGGTTGGTTTTCTTTATTTTTTGTCTTGTTTTTTGACCTAACATTAGCTATTGAACACAAAAACACCATATACTATTTTAACAGAATGCAATTATAAAAGTTTTAGTGACGTATAAAAGCTTTACTATATAGCACGTTTTCTAGAAAAGAATCCCATGTATTCTACACCAATGACCAAAAAAAAAAGCCAGTGAATTTAGTTATTTCAACAATCAGTGTACAAATTCTATTGATCTCCCACAACAAAAAATGACTTTTACCAATATTGCTTTAAATAGCTCATACTTCAATTTATAAAAAATGCGGTGTTATAAGTAAACACATGAAAAGATACCATAAAAACGTAATGATAAAAAACAAATATTATAATAAATTACTGTATTTTATTTTTAGATCGAGTTCAATTTGACAGCTCACCCTAACTTCTTGTTTATTTGAAAAATAGTCTACTCTCCAACACCAGCTGAAGTAATTGCATGGATGGGAACATAGCAAACAAATGTCACTGATCAAGTGGAGGTACATCCTAGCTTAAACCAACCTTATGTGTGGCTTTCCTCATACCCTGTGTGAACTTTATTTCGGGTTGGTGTGTTCTCATGCACTCCCTGGGGCTGGGTATCAATTGATGTTAGTGTGCTCCCACTTCCTGTCCACTGTGGCACTTGCTTTTCCTTGTATCCAGTCTATTTGGCATCTATTGGTCTTTGCTTTGGACAACTGGTACCTCTCTTTTACTCGTGCTGTAAGCTTGGGCTAACTTTGCTTATAGAGGGTCTGAAAGTGCCCTTACAGCATAACAAACATCAAAAAGAGTATGGTGCTAGGCAAAGAATCCTGTGATTTCAATTAAGCTGTCTAAACAGAAGGTCTAACGTTTCTTTATCCTGTGACTTTTTTTTAAGTACAAAGAAAGACAACTTTTAGAGGAGGATAAGTACACACATTCCCTGAAAAGTTACTTTCCATTTTCTCTCCAAATCTTTCCTTAAGGTCAAAGACAATTTGCCCTAGTTATAAACACAAACACAGCACAAAAAAGGATACCGTGATCTGGGATCCTTGAAAGTCTACAGAGATACACAACGGAGGCCAAGCTCTAGGATTTCCAAGTACAGAATGGATATGCCACCTTAATTAATTTTCCAGCAATAAATATCTCTGCTGTTCTAGCGCAATGTTTATCTTATTTTGGACATTCATTTATTATCTTCCTGGTGTCTACCATGACCGAGCACTTATTTTTAGCGTTGAGGCAGCTCTGACTCATGGAGACCTTAGTTGAACAAAACAAAATGTTTCCTGGTCCTCTGCCATTTCCATGGTCTTTGCTATGCGTGAGTCTCTTGCTGTGGCTGTTTTGTCAATCCCTTTCTTGAGACTCCGTTTTACTGACTCTCTATCAAACACGATGTCCCTTTCCAGTGATTGATCTGTCCTGATGACATGGCCAACATGAGCAGTCTCACCATTGTTGCTTCTAAGGAATATTCTGGTTGTATTTCTTCTAAGACTAACTTGTTTATTCTTTCAGCAATCAACGATACAGTCAATATTCTTGGCCAACACCACACCACCAGTTCAAACACATCAAGTTTTCTCCTGACTTCCTTCTTCATTACTGTTACTAGTATTTTCCTTTAAATCAATTCAACATGAGGTGGTAGGTATTAGGGATTACAAGAGAATCCAATAATGAAGACACGCAGGCACTTTTTATTCTGGTCTAGGTCTAATGTGATTTGATTAATTTCATTCAAGGTCAGCACATGGGATTTACTGCCTTGGGAGATTTGCATTTGAGTCTGGGGTTTGCGACATAGGCTCTTAGTTATGAAGCAATTGTGTTCGCTTGTGAAGCCCACCATAAGATTCTCTTTTATGTAATTAACCATCCAAGGGATAGCAGACTCCAGTCAACCCCCACAGTGAAACTTGGGTCTTTAGTAGAGGTTTCTGCCAGGTCCCTCTCCTCTGAGGTAGCCATGTAAATACCACCATCAGGCATCGCTAATTTTGTAATCACGAATAACTTAAAAAATCTCATCTTCTCTCTTTTTTGATTTTGACTATTTAAACCAAATGCTACCACCCACTTTGACTTCTCAGCATCTAGTGTGAATGCCGTTATTATATAGGCATTGGATATCAGGACTATATCCAATATCAGGACTAAGACCCTTGTTTTCATGTTTCAGAGATGGAAAGTTTTGTTTTCCCCCCTCCCGATCTAGTTCAACTTCCCAGTGCCTGGCAAATAGTGTAGGGATTCTTTCTCCAGTATCCTTACAGACCAATCTCGCCTCTTGTTGAATACTTGCATGATGGAGCAGTCATTAGTTCTTAAGTAAGTTTATTTAGTTTCAGTGGCTGTAATTGTTGGAATGTTCTCTCTGACAGAAGACTCAAATTTGTGTCACTGTCACCCTAACCTTTCGGTCTTGGTTACACTCCCTGCAGCTACACATGCAGGCACAACTCTCTAAACTGAAAAAGAAATTAAATATAAAGGGGAGCTTTCTTATCCTCCCAAATTCTTCTCTTTTCCAGACAGAACCTACTCCACTCATTCATTAAATATCTGCTGAGTAGTAACATTGAGAAAACACTGAGTTAGATGCAGCCGATGATAGAAAGATGGTTCCGACTACTGTTTCTCACTGACTCACAGAGCTTGAACAACACAGCGACCCCCACTTCTGGACAGATTGCGATTTGTTTCTAGTTTGAGAGTTCTTTGAGGATACAGAGCAGAGGCTGCTGTTAGACAATGAACTAGGTACCCAACGAATGCTTTCTGACTTTCATCCACTTCTCCAAAACAGGGAACCCTGCACTCGATCACAGCATCCATGCCGTGGTTTGAGCAGCTCTGAGCACAGTGGCTGCATTCTGCACTTGACTCCTGCTGATGTATGTAGGCTTAGAAGGGACTGCAGGGAGACTCAGTCACATAAACTTCGCAACAAGTCTGAGAGGTAGGTTTTGTTCCGCACATTTTTAAGATAAGCAGCCAGAGAGGGACTAGTGAGTTAAATTGATTCAAACCACAAGAGTTCCCTAATATGAAGTCCAAGTCTTTCTAAGGTGGATCCTAGCTCTTAATCATCTACCATTTTCTAATTTCATATTTGATTTTCAGGTCCTGTGGTAGAATTTATACTTTCACTTTTTAATTTTAGTTGAAAACAAAATTATTTTAATCTGATAAGTCCTTCTGGGATCTTAATCAATTAATTGTTATTTACCATTTAACTATTCTCTTTAGTTATCATACTTGTTATTGATGTGTTAAATATATATTTTACATACGTCATTGATGGGAAATGCTATCAGCCCAAAGGTAGAGACTATGCTACCCACCACTAATCTGTCTTCAGGTGACAGTCATATGTTCATCAACACGGTTTTGGATACACTGTTTAACTGTTTTATTATTCAGTTGATTTTTTTTTTTAGGGGAGAGTGTGAACGCAGTCCCCCGCTACCAAAAATTATGCAGTTGAGTTTCCTACATTTGGGGAAATCGCAGGGTCAGCACATCTGGAATGCAATGGATAAGCCTCACCCTGGAAAACTACCTTTGGGATCACGGTATCTCCCCTGCCAGGTAAGTATTATTCAGTTGATATTTTTACCTATTGACTTGAAAGAAAACATAAAAACGTTGCCAAACATTTAAGTGTGCTTTATTTTCAATAAGGGAGCCCTGGTGGTGTAGTGGTTACGCACTGAGCTGTGATCCACAGCTGGTTGGCAGTTCGGAACCACCAGCAGCTCTGTGGGAGAAAGACTGGATTTCAGTCTCAGAAACACACAGGAGGTCACTATGAATCAGCCTCAACTCAATGGCAGTGAGGTTGTTGTTTCAATGAGCTGTTCAAACACCTTTTTTCAATCAGATGTTTTCCTAAAGAGGTATATTGTCTTCCACATAATAGTCACACAACACCTAGATTTTTTAATTTAACATTCCAGAGAATATGATTTGGTATGATATTTTAATCTATGTACTTTTCAAATGTATATACTGCTTTTGAAAGAGCTCTCTTTGCATATGGCTTTCATCATTTTTTTCCTTCCCTTCCTCACCTCATCTCTGTAGTTTATACTTTAAATGTGAGTAGTAGGGGAAGAGGAGTATGTTTAAGAGAAAATGAAAACTTTGATGCACAAAAACACATTTTTCTAACAGAAACACTTACTCATTTCTATGTATACATACAAAACTTTAAAAGCGCAATTTAAAAATGTATGAAGAAACTCTATCATGTGGAGGATGTTACTTAGGACTAGAATCACAGGTTTTGCTAGTCTTTCTCTAGCCTTGGGCAAGCTAGTCTAATTACAGTAACTTGACTTTCATTCTGTTTAGTGTTTTGCAGCTATGCATGAAAAAAGTTAATCAAAAAATAAAATGAAAACCATGATGACTAATTGAAGTCCCATAGATTTCTCTGCTGTTGCCTAACTTGTCTTTGGGGATGAACTTCACTATGTTGCCCTCAAAGCGTCATTTGATGAGCTATACTATCTGTCTCTGCTTCTCTAACAGAAAGAGAAAAGAGTCCTTTGATTTTATAATTTTTCAAGAAGAAAAGAAAAATACGGCTTTCCCTGACATCATTTATTCTATGCTTGTAATTCTTGGGAGATTTTAGAGAAGACACTAGATGGGTACTCTCAGAGCTGGGCAATACCTCCCTTTAGAGACCATAGAGAAAGGCATTTTGCTCTTCCTCTTCGTTCTCTGGTGCGTTTTGGAAGGACGCTGCATTAGGAGGACTGCTGATTCTCAGCCTATTGTCTAGCTGGCTCCTTTGTGAAGTTGTAGACTCAAGTTGGAACCATTAGAACCAACCCAGCCAATGGTTTGTGCAGAAATTTTCCCTGAGATGTTTTCTTAGTACATTAAAAACGGTTTTCTGCCTACGTGTCTATAAACCAATAACGATGTGAAAAATGTATCTTTAATAAATATTAGTAATTAACCCGATAGAATCAGAATTATCTCTGTGATCTTTGTAAGTAGAGGGTGGGAGGGGAGGAGGAGAGATGGGAGGGAGGGTGCATAGGAGAGGAATGGAAGATTGGTGAGGTTTTTGAGACCTGAACAATTTTGAAGGGTTGGTGGCAGACAAACACAGCATGTGAAGTATGAAAGAGTAGGTTATTACCAATGCATATTTTGGGCATTTTTAGCTGACGCTGTCTGGTGAAAGGAAATTTCTGGATAGTGTGTGCTGATTGCTCCTGTGGCCTGGACGACCCTCCATTTTTCAGTTGTCTGAAGTGAGTGGTGTTGAGAAGCAACATATGCTTCTTCCCTTCCATGCAGAGCAGTGAAATTTGGAAATGTGTGCTGAAGGCAAAAATATAGTTTCGACAGCAATTTATTTCCAAGAAAGGACAACTTCCTGGGATAGTGATAATGGTTGCTAAAATCTCACTGAGAAAAATAATTCATTTGCCCAAATGTGGGCTTAGATTTCACTGCATCTGGCTCAGTAGAGTGGCATGGGACCATCAATCTATTTTGGAGAGAGATTTGCTTGGGAACCATGTGGACACAGCCTCCCTTTACTGACACTTGGCTGTGGTGAAAGAGTCCTTGGGACTTTCAGAGTAATACATGCCATTCACATAACACAGTAGTTTAAGTTTCATGAAGAGGTTTTTTTTTTTTAATGCTATTTAAATTTGCTTTCATAACAACTTGAATAGGATGAACAATATGTTAGTCTATTAAGCAAATCTGTGAATTCTTGATCAATAGATGTTAACAAAGTTGTGCATACTCAGTTCTTTTGTAAACAAATGAAGCTCGTGACTTCGGGCATTGAACATGTAAGCCTCCTAACTTCCTCGTTAATACAGTTTTGTTGTTTTAAATTTCAGGCAGCAGCTGACTCTACAGCTTGGAAGTCAATTTACTGAAAGTTCAGCTTTGATTGTTCCGAGGTTATTTATTGCTGTGTTATTCCGACACACAGTGACCCCATGTTTAACAGAATGAAACACTTGCCTGGTCTTGTGCCATCCTCATAATTGTAGGTGGCAAGGTTATACATGGGATATACAAAATAATCAGATAGTTCAAGCCTCAGAGAACAACAAACAACATAGAGTGAGCCCACGTGCCTGGGGTTGTCGCTCATGTCGGAAAAGGACAGGACTTTAGAACCATGTTCAGGGAGTTGCTCAGCACCCCCGGAAGGTGGTTCGCTGTTTTGTTGTGAAGTTGTTAGCCCCAGGAAGTGAGCACTGTTAGATGCTGTCAAATTGATTTTGACTCAGTTACCCCACACAACAGAGGAGAATTGCCTCACAGAGTTTTCTAGCCTGTAATATTTCCATGAACAGACCTCCAAGTCTTTCTCCTACAAATACCTGGACCTTTCTTCTGCTGAGCCACTTGGTTCTCGACTAGCAACTGAGTACCTAACTGTTGGGCCATCAAGGCTCTTGAAATGAGGTTAATGCTAACGTCCCAAATCAGCAGATCATTGACCCAAGAGATCAGGATACCTGAGTCTTGGTCCCAGTTAATAATCGTAGTCCTCCTAGCTGAGCAAGTTAGTTTTTCACTTACACTCACAGGATACTGTGAGCAGTAACTGCTTACAGTATCATGTGAGTGTAAGTGACAAAGTATTGCTACCAGGATTCCAGTGCAGCCATGCATGGACCTGTGTTTCAACGGACCTGTAATTAGTGGATGGCTGCAGGTAAGTTCTCTCAGACCCAGTCTTCGTCTTTTTCGGGTGCTTTGAATAAAAGTTCAATAAAAAGGGCTTCTGAGAGCATCCCTTGGACCTATTGAAGTCAAGGCAGAGAGGTCAGTTACGACAACTAGGAGACTCCAAAGTGGTCATCTTGACAGATTGTTTTGAAGGCACCAGGTGATCACGGAGGCCGACTGTGACCTTTTAAGAAAATTAAAACTGACTCGGGGAGGAAAAGGTTTGGAAGGTTGTGCTGACAACATTTTCTTTTCCTAATATGACAATGCTTCTGTTCCTTCCCAGAAGTTAGCAAAAGCTGTCCTAAAAACATTTCATTGAGACCGTTACCCTCCTTCACCCGACCACTCTGCACTTGCTTCTTCAGTGTTCTTTCACGTTCCCTAAAGGCAACGACTGCGTAGAGGGCGTGTGATGTAAATCCCGCGAGGATGCGGAGACTGCTGTTTTGATGTGGCATGAATCAAAGAGCACAGAATTCTTTGGTGGGGGTGGGGGAGGGAGGCTAGAGACGTGGAAACACCACTGTCAGAAGTGAGTAGACCTAGATGGAGGATATACTGAGAAGCAATAGCTTCAAATTTTCTTTTTTTTGTTGTTTAATAAAAGTTCCTATGATTTTATAGCAATTTTTAATTTTGACTTGCCCTAATTTTATGTGATGCTTATGGGAGAATTTTCCATGAAGCTTGTGGTAGTTACATAATCTGTTGTCAGACTTGAGAGTGAAGGTCGTAGATTGATGACCTCATTTGGAGGCACTAAGGAGATAAATAGCTTGCTGGAGGCGGGACATATGCACACTCCCTGAGAGACAATGCTGTTGAGAAAACACGTGGAGCTACACTAGAGCCCTAGAGCTGAAGGAGTCATGTGAAGGTTTGCCACCACTGAATCGACAAGACTTTCGACTCACTGGCTTGTGATCTTCCTGCATTTAGCGTCCTTGCATGTGTTGTGTGAGTCTGAAGAAGAACTTATAGACTGGTATCTGACATATGGGCTAATATCGGACTTATGGACTTGATCTCGACTGGACTGGGATGTTTTCTCAATATTTAATTGCTCTTGTATATAAAGCTCTTTCTTGTACACAAAGGAATGTCTATGAATTTGTTTCTCTAGTCAACCCTGACTAACACATTATGGTACCTTGGGAGTGGGGTACTGGAGAGTGGGTACGTGTTTGCTCTCTGCCTCATGGTATTTTTTCTTCTTTGGTTAGTAAGAGGTCAGATATGGCCATGCAGTTTACTGGGCTGTTTCTGGAAAGAATATGGGAAGTTAAAGTTTTGATCATTTTCTTTGGTTGTTGTCTTTGTTTATTCTTGTGTGAAATGGTGAGCATGAATGTGACTAATGCATATTTTGAGCTCAGGGGATGAAAATCGCACCTTGACTTTCTCAGAGCTGCTTAGTGGGCAGGCTGAAAGAGAAAATGGCTGACAGAAGGTCAAAATGACTGACAGAAGGTCAAAATGGCTGACAGAAAGGCTGGCTTCTGGTTTGATGCTGTCAGTGGCCTCATCCCATATTTTGTATCAATAGAATACTTTAGATAAGGATTAAGATAAAATAGATAAGGATTGAACTCAACTGTTTTAAGAATTGAGATGAGTATCTGATTCTACTTTGTTTATACTGATTTCTTCTGCTTTTTATTGTTGATGTAATGATTGATAGCAAGTGATTATTGGGAAGTATGAAAATAGAGAGTTTGTAAGCCTTGCCTTCAGCCATTAAGATTTGAATCTTTAAATGGGTTAGGACATTTCTGCAAAGAAGGCTCTGAAAAGATAAGCCCCACCCAGTGCTTTGGAGTACTCAAGACACTTGCATTCCGAGAGACTTGTTTAGGGGCTGTTGATAGATTGA